CAGACTTCATAATACATTTTCTTTTCTTCTCTTTACTCCTGTTAATATTTATTTTTTAATTATCCAATAAAGCCAACTTCCTTTTATTTTCCCATATCAATGTTTCTTTCATTCTTTCTTCAGTTTTTTATCAATGAAACCTAACTTAACTTAAACCTAACTCTCTGATTAAGTCATATCTCCTTCTCCCTCATGTTGTACCAACTACATGTAATAGTGCCTTAGAGGGGGTGCATACAGAATAATTGCCCAAGGCCCCCCTTAGCTGACTCATGTCCACGTGGAGGAGTGGTGCCTCTGCTCTGAGCCCCTCCCAATCTCCTCACCTCATCCCTAAGGTAGCACCCAGCCACCCTGAGAGGAAAGCTATAGGTGAGGGTAGAAAGAAGGACTGACTGGTAAATCAAGAGTTGATCCAAAAGGTGCATCTCTCTCTTCACTACAACCAACCAGTGCAGCATCTGCATTGCTGCAGCCACCAACCATGACCTCTGAACTTTGTCTTTGCATTTTCCACTCCAGTGGATGTTTGTTGGTCTTTGAGGATGTCAGCTAGAACCATGTCACCTGAAAACTGCAGAGATCAAATCTGCTGGACCCCAGACCAGGTCCCCTCCATCTCTTTGCAGCACCTTTGCAGGACCAGTGATGGAGGGAAGACCTGCCAGAGTAGAAACACGCATGGGAACAGGTCTGACCTAACTAAGGCTGAGAGACAGGGGACTAGACAGTGTTTATAGGAAACTCCAGGGGATATGTTAAATGCTTCTTACAAAGCACTTTTATAGCAAGGCAAACACTCATGACCCTTGAGTACCTTGTAGTAGAGCATGAAACGGACCTTGAAAGTCAGCCCGAAACCGACCCCAGTCCGAAAGAACCAGGCCCGTGCCCGGCCCAGCCCGTTATGATTGACAGCTTCGTAGAGCCCGACCCGTTTGCAGCCCGACATTTTTCAATTGTGCGCATTAAGGGCTAATCTCCGTTTCACTTCTGTAACATCCATTTTGCATTCATCCCGTATAGATCGAACGTTATCACATGATCATTTATTTGCCGCGCATATAACGGTTTAAAGCCCGAGCCCGGCCCGGCCCGAATGAAATAATAAAAAGTACAGCCCGAACCCGCCCGAACCCGGCAGGACCTCTCGGGTCCCGTCGGGTTCGGGCTAATATTCCCTGCTCTACCTTGCAGTAAAGGGTGTAGAGGTGGCCCTGCACTGATATAATTATCCTGGGTAGATTATGTGCAGTGATTCTATCTTAACCCTACCCTACATCTGCTAGGTGCATATTTAAGCCTGACATCTATTCCAGCGAGACTGTCTTTTTTTCTGGACATCCTCCCAGGATTTCTGGGAATTACTCCCCTCTGTCCTAAACTCTTGACTTGTTGGCACCCCATGGCCCTCTGTGCATGACTTCCTGCATATTAGTTGGCTAAGGCTGATTGAATTAAGTTTATTTTTTGAGGTTGTATCAAAAAAGTTAAAAAACAATCCAGTGGACGTTGTTTCCAACTTTGAAGACGTTGAAACGGGTCCACCCCTTTGGAATGGGGGTCGTTTGGCTTCTTTTGTTAGCCTGCAATGCCCCATACCTGTCTATGTTTCTGAAAGCGGTTTCGATAAAGGAAATTGTTGTCCTGGCTGAAAGGGCAAGGTCTTCTGTTCCCCTGTAAAAGGCTTGGGTTCGCAATTTAATTCAATTCAGTTTATTTAGCACCAATTCACAACACCATCTCAAGTCACTTTACAGTTCACCAGATCATCCAGTCAAATTAAAGTTTTCTCTCTAAGGAAAAGCAGTTGATTGCATCGACTTATTGACTCAAATACAACCCCTCACACTAAGCATGCTTGTAGCGACAGATGAGAGGAAAAACTCCCTTTTAACAGGAAGAAACCTCGAGCAGAACCAGGCTCAGTGTGAACGGCCATCTGCTGAGGCTGACTGGGGTTCAAGGAGACAGAAGCAGAGATACAAAAAGCAACAGTAAAAGGCGGCCCCATCCAGGAAACACACAGCCAGGCACACAATCTCTGAGCCAGCTCCCATGTCAGAGGATGAAGAGGGCACACCCAGCCAGTCACAGAAACAGGTCTACACTGAAAAACAGACAGATCTCCAACATCTATAAACAACGGTGTTGATGGCAGCTGATATTTCCCTCCAGGATGGTGTCCTAGCAGAACAGGAACAGACAAGGCAAAGCTATGAGAAAAAGCAGAGGCAGCATAACATTAAAGATTGAACTAACAGATTCTGCAGAGTGAGAGAATAGAGCGAGAATGAAGCAGAATAAAGAGGGGTCCCTATGTCCTCCAGCAGTCTAAGCCCATAGCAACATAACTATACAGTTAGCTATGATAGGGACCAACTCAATCTGTTTTTTAAGGTTGTTCCCCTCAGATTAATATAGTTGAGGCCCCATGTGCTGCTGCTCTCACCCAGTCTCACCATCAGCCCCGCAGTTCTCTGCTGCTGGGTGTCTATAAAACCAGGAGATGAAGATCTGAGCCCAGCTGAGCCTCAGCTCTGACCTCACCCAGTTCATCTACATACTGTTTTCCACTCTGAAGGGTATAGTTAATGTGTGTGAACCAATGTGCATCGGAGAAGGAAAACATGTATGCTCTTGCGAATGTATGTGGAGGAATGTGGCTTGTCTGGGTGTTTAAGAATAGCTGTGAGGAATGTTAGACTCGCAATGTTGTTGACTCCCTCAGATTGAGCTGAGGGAGTATTTTTCTCCCTGAATAGAAAAGCTGAAGCTCTGAAAACACACCTAACCTGAATCACAGCATTCAAGACCAGTTCAACTTTATCATTTATTATTTAGCTTTGTGGCAAATATGAGCTGGAAATAAATTTCTAAAGTCAATTCTGTGGAAAGTCACACACTTCCACACCTTATTCAGCAGGAGTTACCACCTTAATATATGTCCAGGATGTGTCTCTATAAGAGGGGAAGTGTGAATGAAACGCAGGCAAATCATACAGCAGGTATTCAAGAAGAGTTGCCAGAATGTTCTCGTGAAATGCTCTACAGCCTCAGTTTGTTGCAGCCCTGAATTATAACTTTTTTGTCAGTGTCACAGGATACAGTCATGTCAGTATTTTGATTTGGTCACAAGCTAGTAGTTAGTTTGTTGTTGTTCTGAACCAGTGGAACAGAAGTCTTAGGATGGGGGCGGGAAAAGATCCAGCACTAAACTGCAACATCAAGCACATTTTGTACATTTTTCAAATGGTTACTTTGTTTTAGTTAGATCCTAACTTCTCAGTATGTCTCCTTACACTGTAAATTTCCTTTTACTGTGAAGTTTCTAACTCTTTTTACCCGGTTTCAGATTTGTGTACATCTGCATGCTTACATTACTCTCACCCTTTTCTTATACTCTGTATGCCTTCACCTTCCAATACAAAACAGACTCCTGTTATTTGCAGAAATACTCAGATGACTCTGTTGTCTTTGATTGTGTCAGATATTAGACAGACAAACTTTATTGTCATTTTGTACACACAGGGTGTATAAAAAATGACATTTCGTTCAGTACAGCTTACAAGATATTTCCATTTCTGTAAGTGCAACAGTGAAAAAATTTAAACATGGTGATCAGATGTAAACATAAGACTGAGATATGATTTACAGTTTTCCAACATTCAGCGCTTTTTTCCTCTGTTTTAACAATCTGTCCGTGAACTTCTGTAGAACCTCAGGAAATTATGTTAAAAAGAACTGCTAAAAAAAAACTCTAAATCATGTCAGACTGCATCACACTGATAACGCCAAACCAAAAATACTGCATCTTTGCACCATATATATCCAATGCTCTGAACTTCCATATCAATCCGTTTTTTTGCACCATGGTTTTTCACAAACACTGTTTACATTTAAACGCTGCTGCACTTTAAGGCATCGAAACGTCCATTTACTGTCTGAAAAGCTGTACTAAAAAAAATTCATTTTGTTTTCACTCAGTGTATACCAAATAATAAAAGTCATTGTGATCAACCTTGGGATTATCAGACTGATGAATAACCTTATCTACAGCTACAATAACTCATTGAAAACTATTAGAGTTACAACAATATTCAGTTTTTACTTTGGAATCAATTAAGTATTTTTGGATAGAACTGAAACAAGTGGAATTTGTTTCAGTGTTTTAGCTCTGACATTTGAATTTTTTTGGCTTCAAACTATCAATTCTATTATTTAATTTGTTATAAAAGCAGATTTTAAATGGTTTTGCTGTTCATCAAATGTCTGATGGGAGGGGAATCTCTATCAGACATTGTCTGTGCCTTATGGCCCCATTTGTACATGAATTATTCTAAGCCAGGGTTGCCAGGGTGTGGACAGTTCCGGTTTATGGCTGCTGGAACCGTGCACCAATTATCTCTCCTGTGACCCTGCAAATACCCTGAGCATGTTGAAAAGACATAGCTGAATATGAATATTTCTGTTACTTGTTACCATTTCAGTGAATCCAATACCTTGTGATTGGATTAAATGTGCAAAGATTAAATGTGTTACTTTTAAAGGTGACACATTATAATTGCAAGCACAGATACCATAAATATCAGAAAAAAAATGTATGTTAACAATTTTTTTCTTGGGGTCTGAACTTATTAAACTTTTGTTTTTTTTTTTCCTGTGGCTTTAATGTGTTCGTAAGTGTTAATTTATTAAACTTTTTCCCACATTCATTAGCTTTCACTCGCTCTACGAGAGTCATTTTGATATTGCACAACTTCAAGCTCACTTGCTGCTGTGATAATTTTTCTTGCTAGATGATAAAACCAAAAGGTACAATAAAGTTGTAGGGCAAAAAAAAAACAAAGAGGGGCGGTGCTATTGGTGTCACTATGTTAACGGTGGTGACGTTAGACTCGTCGTGCCATAACCATACCAGTTCTGTGAATAAATATACCTTTCCCAAATCACGCCTTCTGCAAGGATCGGCTGAAATTACATTATTTAAACTTCCGATGTTTTTGTTCCAATGAGTGGAACGACATAGAAATCTTATTTCCTCTACCGTTTGATAGAAAAAGATTATCTACGTCATCTTTTACGGGGACTGTATTTTACCTAGGAGGACTATATCCTTCCGCCTACCGCTCTTCTTTTGCGGAAGGATTCATTTAAGTTTTGTGTCTGTGAAAAGAAGGCGTTGTTCCGCTACCGGACCATTTGATCTCTTTTCTTCAAATCTTTTGGTGTTTTCTTCGTTGTTCAGCTGTTTTCTTCGGTCGGTGCTCTTATTTAGATGGCCAGCTTCCCGGACTGTGTAAATGAAAATGATTTAGGTAAGTAGCTTTCTGCTTTATGTCGCTCGGGACAATGTCACGTAGACAGGTTTTCTGAAAACGCGAAATTGTATCGGGTTTAGTTTTATCTGCTGCGAAGCGCTTAAAAAAATCCTGTCATTCTTTTAAGTGTTTATTGTAAAGTTGTATTTTCCTTGTAAATATCCCCCCAGCTACCTGCGTGAAGTGCGGGTTGGATGGAGAGCCATCCCAGCTGGAGTTAGTAGCTGAATGTGAAACTGGCTCGGTATCGGCTCCCGCTAACGCAGGCGGGAGTTCACGCATCGCTTCATCATGGCGCCCGGTTCCTTGCATCGGCCTTAATCATGGCCCTTTTTAAAAAAAATAGAGGATACCTCTGATGGAAAGCATTTAGTCGGGCTTTTATCAGCTAGCAAAACACGAAGGACATGCGACATCGAATCTGTACAGTTTGTTATGTTAACCTTTTACACTTTAATCCATTTCTTCTATTTTAGCTAAACGCAACACTGAGATAATCGGAGAAAAGGGAAATTGCCTTTTTTTTATTGATTTTTGACTGCTTTTGGCCTTGGCCCCACAGGGCTTGGCCCCATCGACAGGCTCCATGCTGCCTGTAGCTGTAAACACGTACAGTGAAAAACCCTGCGATCCACAGGCCTGATAAGGAAAGCCTCCCAATGTTAGCATTCCTAACACATTATCTAAGCGAAGCATCTGAAACTGGTTCTGTGAATAGTTATGCAAGCAGCAGTTATAGAACCATTTAAAAGTTCATTATCCAAATGAAGATATAACATTCCAGTAATTCTGAAACCAATTGTGTTGTGACTTTCAACCATCAAAGCCTCTGTTTATATGGATCGGTGCAATTCACAACAAGTCATCATCTTAGTTTCTCCATATGGGTCTGTTCTGGATCCTCTGGATTCACATGTTCTTTGTTTCATTTTTCTTTTTTTTTCTTTTCTTTTCTTTTTTTGGTGCTGTGTGGCACTTTGAGGCTAAATGATTAGCCTTTGTTTTGATTTTGGACTGCTGGTTCTGTTGCACTTTCCATAACAAAACGTGTTGTTTCTGTTTCCTTCAGACAAGGCGAAGTTCATCGGTGAACTCCTGGTCCCTGCTGCTCCCTTTGACCAGAAGTCTGGACGTGAGACCTGGACTGTAGCCTTTGCACCAAATGGTTCCTACTTTGCTTGGTCTCAGGGACATCGCATTGTCAGACTCATTCCTTGGTCTAGCTGTCTCAGGAGCTTGTAAGTATCATGTATTTATTTGTGGTGGCCATTGCCGTTTCTTTCATCTTTGGCATCTGAATGGGGAGGGGACTCTGAACTGTTTGAACCCTGCTTGTCCTGTTAATGAGTTCTTTAGGATTCTGTTGACACATGGCATTTAAAGAGTGATTGATGGCAGCCCTCAGGGACCTGAACTTGGCAACTCCCCCCTTCAAAGCAGACAGCTGCAGTTTAAAATATTTCCAAAGATAATTTATCGACTAATAAACTAGACTAATACACACACACACACACATATATATATATATATATATATATATATATATATATATATATATATATATATATATATATATATATATACACAGAATTAACAGTTTTGGGCTAAAACTGTTAATTCTGATTAAGTACTGATGTATCTATTAACTCACTGGAGAATGAATTGCTACTTAGATTAATGGTAGACTGACTGTAAAACATGCCGTTTGCTGAAAGAATAACTTATTTGCAGCAATAATTAAGGCAAAACTACAGATATAAACTAAAAACTCTCATAAACGTAGAATATATTTTCTCCATTAAATATTAAATGTTTTCTTTATTCATTTGTGTGTAATTAAATATGTAGAAATGTCTATTTTATTTTTTACTTGTTTTTTTCATTTGCAATTAATTAAAATGCACAATAAAGTGTTTTTTCTTTATTCCCAAATTTTTTATATTATAAATTTACAAAACGGCTCTTTTAAGATTGATTGATTACTCAATGGAATAGTCGATTTCTAGAACAATCGACTGGTGCAGCTCCAGACCAATTGAGCCACATTTTGATCATAAATAGGTCGAAGTTTGTCCCTCTGCTTTAGAAGCTTTACACAATGAACCTGCTGACATGTTGCTATGGTAATAACAGAGTAATATCGGACCTGAAAGATGACAGTGAGTCGTCCAAACCGGTCATTTTGAACCAGTATTGATTGGTGGCCTTATCTGAGGAATCTGGCTAATTGAATTCTTAATAATATGAATTTAATCATTTAGTCTCAAGTCTTTCTTAATCCCTGCACCTTTCTAACCATCCCCATCTGTATTCCCCTCAATCTTATTTAGTTCTGTGAGCGCTGGTGAAGAAGGTACCATTCCAACTAGTCCCAGGCATTTATCCCGTCAAAACAGCGATGGAGGCCTTACTGTCGCACTAGCTGATGAAGCCCGTGAACACACCATCGACTGTGGGGACATAGTCTGGGGTCTTGCCTTCGGCTCCTCTGTGCCGGAGAAGCAGAGCCGCTGTGTCAACATCGAGTGGCACCGGTTCAAGTTTGGCGAAGACCAGTTACTGCTGGCCACAGGCCTGAACAATGGTCGCATTAAGATCTGGGATGTTTACTCTGGTGAGTTCCGTCTGGAATCCGCATCTTTTTCTGTCTCCAGCAGCTAATTAGAAAGAAAGTGTGAGATCTCACCTCCTTTGCCTCTGCTGGTTGCTCAGCAGCTACTGATTAGTTTCTTTACATATAAACCTGGTTCTGGTCAAACTGAAGTGTACCAAGCTTTATCGTAGCAGATTGGAACTTTTGCTCTAAATCTGTTCCAGGAAAGCTGCTGCTGAATCTGATGGACCATACTGATGTTGTACGGGACCTGACTTTTGCTCCTGATGGCAGCCTCATGTTGGTGTCTGCTTCCAGAGATAAAACTCTTCGTGTGTGGGACCTGAAAGATGACGGTGAGTCGTCCAATCCGGTCATTATGAACCAGCATTGATGGGTGGGCTTATCTGGTAATCTGTGGCTAATTGAGTTCTTTTTTTATATATTAAACACTTAGAACATTTTATATCCTTCATAAGCTGTTTAGTTTCAGCTAAAATCCAGAGTTATGAGTTGGAAATGCTCAAACAGCCTTATTTGTGGTGTGGATGAGACGGATAGAGTCTTCCTGTAGAACATCAGTCCACGCGGCTACAGGCCAGCCGACGCCCACAGCAGACCAAAGTGAAAGATAACCATCGGTGGATTGAAAAGTTCTTCCTTTTGCTACTAACTTGATGCTTGTTCAAGAACAAACTGAATCCAATTTGGCAGCAATCTGACAGAAAATCGTGTCAGACAAGGTTGTGGCATTTAGCGCCCATTAAATAGAACTATTATTAAAATAAAAATTGACTTGTGTGTGACATAAGGAACTAACCCATTTACAAAGCTTTTGGTGGGCTACTCTATAAAAGCCTGGAACTCGGTGCTATTTCAGACATTTTGAACTGTAATCTTCCTGAATTTGGAAGCAAAATGTCTTCAAACTTGCTAAACAAAGTCCAGTGGATAATTTTTTTAGCTTTTTGGAATGACTATGACCTAGATGACTGAAAATATCCACCGGCAAACATAAGGAACAATTAACCCGATGGATCAATTGATGATCAACAACAACCATAAAGATTAAGTCTCTAAAACCCAACAGTAGCTGGAAGAACAATTTTAATGCAGCAGTAATTAGACCAAAACAATGTTTTGCATTTAAGGTGGAAAAACCCTTTTGACTGTATAGTAGCATTTTTTTTTACCAAAGTTGTTTCAAATTCTGGAAAATCTCCCTCAAACCTTTTAATATCCAATCATTTATCCAGTAACTGAATTAAATGAGTGAATGTATGTAAATATGTCCAACAGGTAACATGGTGAAGGTTTTACGGGGACACCATAACTGGGTTTACTGCAGCTCCTTCTCTCCGGACTCGTCCATCCTGTGCTCGGTCGGTGCAGGCAAAGCGGTACGTTTTCATCCTTCTTCCTCCCGGAGCTTTAGCTTGATGTCTTTGTTCAGTTGCTTGTGATGTTATCTCCAATCAGCCTTGTAATTGCTAAAGTTTCCAGCTTTCCTGCCCCTTGATTAAACCGCTCAGTGTCATTGGTTGTCTGCACCAGTTTCTTCTGGGGCTTACAGACCTAGAACAGTTAGATAATTAGGCTCATAACCAGACTGGAAACTAGGCAGAAAGCGAAATAAAGCTTCTTATGGATGTGTTAAAAAAAAAAAAAGCTTGTAAATGAAAGATTTGCTAATATAAAGCTTCTAGATGATATTATAGCTTATAGATAATATTTGAATGACATTTTGAAATGAATGTTTGCGGCCCTTACGGCCTCTAACTAGAGCTGGACTAGGCTGAGCATGGTAGCGGTTCTGTTCGGCTCTGTGTCCCTACAGTGTGTGTCTTGCTCTTCCTGTCACAGGTGGTGGCAGAGCTCAGTGTGTGATTGGTTTTGAAAGGAGCGCCGCGCTGACATTTGAGCAGCCGGTGTAAACCATGGACGCACAGTTCACAATGCCCAAAGGCCTGGCCAGGGGCACCTGACCCGCAAGGTCAATCTGTACGTAGGTGCTGCTCTGTGTCTGTCTACCTCCTCTATTTATTTTGGACATTTCACTTTAAAATAGATGGCAATAATTTCATTGAGCTGGTGGTGAAGATAGGCCTGTATTCCTCCACCCCTGCCCCCCCATCTGTAACTAGCACCAGATCCCTTCTGCACACAGTAGTTCCTGTTGAAATGCGGCAGCCTTTAAGCCGGGCATACACTGTGCCATATTTTCAATCGTTGCACGCAGCTTCAGCTCAAACTGTACGACGAAACCGCAGGGTTTAGGCGTTCACAGCTCACGATGTCTGTTCTCACACTGTGTGACACGACAGTGATGCGATCTACATCAGGGTTCCAGCGGGTCCTTAAAAAGTCTTAAAAGGCATTGAATTCTTCAAAATAAAACTACGGCCTTAATTGGTATTAAAATGTCTTTTGTAGGTCTTAATTTTCAAAACATCATAAATAGGATTTTTTCTATTACGATTTATTTGTTTAATCTAAATAAAACATTAAAATGGACAATTATTATTATTATTTTTTTTAATAAAAGAAAAAATAACGGTTCTCCATTATTGGTTCCGTCCCGATAGCGGAACCAATAAAGCGTTGTTGCGGCTGGGACATTTGGGAGATGCACCATTAACTTTTTGTCTGGAAAATATGAGCAAGTGTAAATGTAACTAAAATTGTCTCCAGCCAAGAGTTTTCTCCATGGCTAAAACCAGGGAACATACATGAGGCTCAGTGGATTTTGTACATAAAGCGATTCGAGCTCTGAACGATGGGAATTAAGGCAGTGGAGTCTCAAATGCGAAGCACGAAACGCAAAGCGTCAAAATGGAGTTGCCGAGAAACAGCCGGTATTTCTCAGTTTAGTTCCACCCTTGTCTCTGCAACGCCTCCACTTATCACCAAATCAAACATACTAAGAAAACCATACAAAGAAAAATAGCTGCAAAAAAGACTAAGCACTGGTTATGTTGTGGCTTTAAAACTGATATGTTTTGTTCCCTGCTAAAACAAAGTTTGTGAATTCAGTTAAATAATTGTTAAAATATATCTGTCATTTGTGTGTTTTTAGCTTTCTTCCTGTATGCGAAGCTTTTCAACATTTGAAACATTAGTGCAGTGGTTTATGTTAAAATAAACCTTTGGGTTAAGTTGTCGCAAGCAGGTTTTTCTTGTGTTTCTTGTGAATTTGGTCTTAAATTTTTATTTCAAGTGGCATTAAAAAGTCTTGAATTTAACTTGCCTTATGCTGTAGGAACCCTGAAAATGCTCACACTGTAAACTCTAAAAACCAAGTGGGACTCAGCTCCGCAGTGAGAAGACGCTACTCAGACTCGTCTATCCGGAACCCAAACCAGAAGAAGAATTTGTGCAATTTTGTGCTGAAAGCCCTAAAAAAAAAAAAAAAAAAAAAAAGGCGACGATGTATTTGGACAAAAACGTGGCTGAGCAAACGTGGCTACTAAGGTCTGTCAAATTTACAGAAAGAACTCCATTTCACTCATTGCACCCCTGCCATGCTGTGTTTTCATCTGAGAGGAAGAAGAAGAATTCTTGTTTACCCGCTGAGCGATTTGCCCATAACCATCTTACGACGGCGGGCTGAATTTCAAACATTTTCTCCTGACCTTACGATTCCTGATCGGGGAGGTGGTCACACAGTGTATGCCCGGCTTTAGCTGCCTCTGGCAAAGTAACAACTCCTCTTTAGTCGCATTTACTCAAGTCAAACATGAGCACCATATCTCTATCACTGCATTTCTAAATGTTATTATGTAATTACAGAAAAAGAATCCTTTAATTTTGGCTGTTCTGGTTTATTTTGACCCTCAGAAAACTTTTAGCAATAACAGATGAACAGCAAAAGATTGGAAATATTAAAAACCGATTCAGCAAAACGCTGAAGCTGAAACAAAAGGGGAACTACTTTATTACAGAAGAGCAGGGAAGTATTTCTAACCCCTCCGTATGCATCAAGTTTCAGTTCATCTCTGTAGAAATCAGAGATAGAAGCAGCACTCTGCTCTTAGATCTATGTTGATAAGCTTAAATGCAGGAGTCATGGATGTTTGTGTGCATGGACGTGTGTGTGGACATGAATATAACTACTGTCTGCCGGAGGAATCAGCCCTTTGGCCATAAAATCTGCTCTTCTCTTTGCAGTATGTGTCTCTCTCCCTAGGCTCTGTCGGAGACGCCAGCCTTTTGTAAACACACTGAACTAAAACTCTGAAAGGAGAAACCACTGGAGTAATTTGTTACCTTAAGTTTCTATTTGTTTTGTTTTTTCACTTTTTTTTTCTTCCAGAATAATATTTCTAAAGTTGATTTACTGAACATTAATGCTAGTAATATCCTGCTGTAGATTTCTGATTAACTCAAACGATTCCTTGTGTCACTGCTAGTTTAACGTCATCTCTGTGACACTGAGCATACCTTGTTTAATTCATGTCTGATTGAGTCGTAGATTTTTTTGTTTTTGTTTCTGTTAAATGGAACTTAGTGCATCCAGTTGCTTTCCCATTTAATCCATCAGCTCCAACCAGTCCTTGCTTCCCCTTGCAGGTGTTCCTATGGAACATGGATAAGTTCACGCTGATCCGGAAACTAGAAGGGCACCACAATGATGTGGTATCCTGTGAGTTTTCACCTGATGGCGCCCTGCTGGCCACAGCCTCGTATGACACCAGGGTCATCGTCTGGGACCATCAGAAGGCTACCATCCTCTTGGAGCTGGGGTAAGGACCGCTGTCAGTTCGTGACCATTAAAACCATTTTACTCTCTTGCAAAGCATTTATTTCACCAGTATTATTAATTGCAGTTAAGGCGTGAATATTGTTATTCAGTACATCTGAGGCTATGTTTATTTAGGTTTGTTAAATATGCTTGAATAACTTTCTCAGTCACGCTAACCCCCAGATTCCACATACTCCCATCAAAATCTCCATCAATATATTTATTTTATACTGAGGGGCTTAAAAGTATAATCTAATCTAGTCAAAAGAAACTTCTTATTGCAGGAATGGCTGAAGGATGCTGAGTTTGGAAGTAGAGAACAAAAATAGTTTTGTATGATCCTGGTTATCCCTGTTACAACCCAAACAAAAAGGAACTTCAAGTGATCACGTACAGAGCAGAAACGGAACATATGCTGAATGCAGATGGTGATTTTTTTTTTTTTTTATAAGGTCATATTAAATTAAGCGTTCCTTTCCACATGTTTTGCTCCCATGAGTTTAATAATAATATCGAGTATGCTCTCCTCGATCTCAGAGGAAGTCGGAGCGAAGCAAGACAGGAGGAACAGCAGAGGCTTTGGAATGTGGTCTGGAGCGCAGTGGTGGTGTGACGGAGGATGTTGGATTTTGGGGTTTTCCTGGCTGGGGTCACAAGGGCTGCTGGTGCCTATCTCCAGCTGTTTAAGGGCAAGAGGCGGGGTACACCTTGGACAGGTTGCCAGTCCATCGCAGGGCAACACAAACAGGACAAACAACAATCCACACTCATACTCACACCTAAGGAGAATTAAGACAAACCAATTAACCTAAAAGTCATGTTTTTGGACTGTGGGAGGAACGGGTGTAAATCACATCCATCATTACCCAACGATTAGATTATTTTCGATACTCAAGAATACACCACGATTTTATTTGATTATTGCTAATTAGTTTTTTGTTTGTTTTTGTTTTTTGTTTTGTTTTTACACCTTAGAGGCTAGACAATGTTTCAATGAATGAAAGCTGTAATATCGTTATGAAATTTTTTTTAGAAACAGCAAATAGCAGAAGTAGAAAAGTTGCATCCCGCCCCCTCCACAGACGCTCCGCTGCACCTCTCCCAAATTGTAGCTGACCGCAAACAGTGCCGCAGACAGGAGGCCGGCTTGCTTTGCTTTTATGACCGAAATTGCAGAAAACAACTCGTGAAGTTTGACACACTAGAAGAGCGAGGTGCGCGAGAACGCTGGGACCCTTTTCCACCTGGATCTCCACTCTTTTTGGCCCTCATGTCCCTCCGTCGTTGGACTAAACTTGCCCCCACTTCCTCCCCGCCTCAGCCGTATCTAGACCCACAGCGTGTAGCACAGACCACGCTTCAATATTGAGCATAAATCAAAAATGTCTGCGTCAAGCTCACTAAAACACACTGCTGTAAGAGTATAACCAGGAAGCGAGGTAGGAGGGCAAAATAGGTTTAGCGCCACCGCAGCTTGGGAGGGAGAATTACGCCCAGGAGCAAATGGATAAAAATGGACCGCAGGAAAAAAACAAAAAAAAACAATCAATACTCTTGTGGATGTATCGATTTATCGGATCGTCTGCTTTTGGATCGATGCATCGATACAAAACCATTATTATTTACACCCCTAGTGGGAGGAAGCCAGAGAACCCTTGCATGCTCAGGGACAACATGCAAACTGCATGCAGAAAGACCCCGGGCTGGGAATCGAACTCAGAACCTTCAGCAGTGCTACCCACAATTTAATTACTCATTGTTTTTTGAAGCGTAAGACCATCTGCCCTTTTTTTCTTTTCTTTTGTACATGACTAAAGGGATACACGCCCATTGAGGTAGTTTAAAATGTATTTTTCCTACAAACTAAAGGGATAAACAGGTTTTGATTATAGCTATGCTGGTGTGACAGATCAGCGGTTTGGGATTCAGCCGTAGTGTTCTGCTGTTAACTGTGATCTGACCTGAAGTTAGTTTTAAAATTGTGATTTATATTACAAATGCAATTAATAACCCAGCCCTAGTTTACAAACCATGAACAGTAAATGATCATTAGGTGAATCTAACAAAAAACATGATGCTGAGAAAGTTTAACTGCCATTCGCTCCATAGGTCAGATGGAACATGTCCTCTGGTACGGTTATATCAGCCATTAATTAGCTCTGCCATCTTCCTCTCCAGCCATCTTTTCCCTCCGCCGTCGCCCATCTTTGCTGGAGGGGCCAACGACCGCTGGGTCCGCTCTGTGAGTTTCTGCCCTGATGGCCGCCACATCGCCAGTATTACTGATGACAGGTAAGAAGTGGCCTCATGACAGATTTAGTTCTATAAACATGCTGAGGGCAAAACAAATGAGCTGAGAGGGAAGCGAGAGCAGAACTCCCACACACTTCTACTAGAGCTCACTTTCAGGTGCCTCCTGTTGGAAAGGAAGCAGTACTTAAGGAGTTCCTCTGTGCTCCTGTTTTAGATGTTCTGCTTTAGAACATGTGTACTGATTTAGACCCGTTTTAAGCAGAGCTATACATAGTTTCTTTGGATTTATCCTGCAGCTCTCCATTGCTGACCTAGCTGTGTCTGTTCTCCTCAGGTTGGTCCGTTTCTGGAGTATTGAGGAACGGGCTCCTCAGGCTGTAGCCTCTTTGTCCAACGGTCTCTGCTGTGCCTTTTCTGCTGAAGGGAATGTTCTCGCTGCTGGGTAAGAAACAGGATGAGCCACAGACTGTCCGTCCTTCCTCATGTCTTTCATTCACCTCTTCATCCCTGCTTTGTCTGTAGGACCCGCGATGGAAGCGTCCACTTCTGGGAGTGTCCCCGCAGCGTTGCCAGTCTGCAGCACATGTGCAGGATGGCCCTGCGCCGGGTTCTGAGCACCCAACAGGTGGAAGCCCTAGCCATCCCCACGCCCCTCCAGGACTACCTGACCTACAGAGTCATTTAAGTCTTTCCATAAGCGTGAACTTATCCATGTTCCATAGGAACACCTGCAAGGGGAAGCAAGGACTGCAGCAGTGTGCCGGAAAACCTTTAAAAAACCCCAAATCTTCTAGAGCCGATGTTAATAAAGAGCAGAGTGTAGGTTCTGAGCCACGTGGCCGTCTGCTCTTGAGCTTGACTTTGTACATATTTATTTTCACATGGCTTTACTACGGTTCTCTGGACCAGTACAGTCGTGTTATTCTGGGTTTCCTGGTCTCTGGGGTGTCGCTGTGCTCCTGCAGATGTGGAGGTCCAGCTCTAGCGACTCCTCTGCTGCTCTAACTTTAAATGGCTGTTGCACTTAAAGAGGCCTTGCAGCGGTGCTTGCTTTGAATGTCTTTCTCTTAGTCATCAGGTTCTGTTTGCAGCGTGGAGGTCTGTCCTCATAAAAACCAACTTCCTTTTTTCTCTGCTTCTGCACCTCTCCTCCACACTAAATGGAAAAGTTTGACTCTTTCAAAGTAACGCTGGGTGTTTTCCTCTGCCAGTATTTCCATCAACCTGAGACCCAAACACTACGGCCCCCGGGTCGGTCCCGTCTATCATCCTCATTTCAACCTTTTTTTTTAAGATTGTTTTCTCTCAGCTTTACAACATCTGATTGAAGTTGCTTCATATGCTCAGCTCTCTGAATCTAGAATGATTATTGAAGGTGGAACATTTTCTTCTCCTTTTATAAGAAAATCAGTATTTCTGTCTGGATGGGAAGGTGTGGGACACGTTGACCCGTCTCAGGTCATTTGTTCAGCCGGACATTAGCTTATATTTTGTTCTGGTTAAATACACTATATATTTTCTAATCGGGTTCTTAAAGTTTCTTGGATCACGTTGCTCCCAGTCGTAGTTCCTTTTGGTCAGGATTTGTACATTTGTAAATTCTTTTACTTTATTGTTTTGTTTTAATGTGAAAATGTCAAAACCTCGTTTCTTACCTTTTATTGTATGCATCAGTTGGTCCAATCACCCGGCTGGATTACGGAAGCAATACCTGCCGCCGCATCTGCTCACCAATCCGCTAACGGACGAACCATCAGCAGGGAAGCTTCCCCCTAAAGTGAAGCGTTCTCAGAAAGGATCTAGTTTCTCCAGATGTGAATGAAACGTGAGAAAGGAGAGAGGTCCTGGTGTTAATTCTGGTCCCACAGCAGATGGCGGCGTGAAGTAAATGCCAAAGGTTTTCCTTCTGTGTTTTTCACTTTATTTTTTAAGAATGGCTGAGCAGCTGTAACACCCCGGCCTAATCAAAGCAGACATGTTTTCTATATCTGTTACAGGTTGATGGAGAAACTCAGATGAACTCTGATGTTTCTGTATATCTGTGAATGTATTGAGTTTTTGAAACCTTGTTTAAATAAAGACTTTTTACTATAAAAACTGGACTGACTGGCGTTGTTCTCCAAACACGGGTTCTCTGCTACTGTTTGTGCTCCTTTGTATTGGAATGATGGTCCTCAGAAGACCAGAAACATGGCTGCAGTGGTGCGTTTAGTTCAGTGATGACTAAACTAAGCAGTGGGAGAACGCAGCCCTCTGCCAAGCTGCAGCGTTTGCCCCATATTGTGACTTACAGCTAAAACTCGATCGGGATCGTTGGCTAATATTCTGCGCACCTTCATTCACTCTGCTTTCTTCTATGATCAGCATATGGGGGCCTGGCTCACTTTTTCTGTGTTTTTTGTCTTCAGTACAATAAAAAATGCTGAAGTTCTCAATCACTGCTGCCACTCTCTGGTTTAGGGGGGAACTGCTTGTTCCACCAAATGTCAGAATCCTTAAAGTTTTTGCATCTGGATTTTGATGTGTCACACAGATGTAATGAATTGTTCCTTGGACTGAGGTGCACCTTTGGTAAAAATATCATTTAAATCTGTTCCTAACTTCTCTAGTTATGCTGTTCAAATGCGGACCAACTTTAAAAACATGAGCTCCTTGGCGAAGGTAATGAATCCAGCCAAGTTTTAAATCATTAGCAAAACATTAACAGAAGGCAAAGTCCAGTGTGACGAGCTGCTGGCTGTATAAGAAAAGGAGGAGTTATTTTTTAACCTTCAGGGTTTCTCTTATCAGCAGTGAATGTAGCAACTTCCTGACCAACTTGCTTCAAGGTTTATTATTGACAGAACTTCTTGGAACTACAGGGTGCTCCAGGGGACAAACTAATGAGATCACAGTGCGGGACACAGACGCAGTCCAAAAAGTTAAAAAACAACCCACTGGACTTTGTTTTCCAAGTTTGAAGATGTTTTGCTTCCCATCCAAGAAGCTTTCTCAATTCAAAATGTCTGGTTCAGTGTTGAGTTCCAGGCTTTTAGAGAGTAGCCAAAAAAAAGCCTTGTAATGACTTAAAAAAACAAGCTGGAAAAACAGATTCAATGCGCAGCTCTTAATAATGGGAGTGAATATTTAGTTCCCATGCATAGTGATGGGGGTTGAAATGGTATTGGGAAGGAATCAACTGTATCCCTGCATTGTAGTCCACCCCCTCTGATAAAGGTTGTTTTTTCTCTTTTAAAATAAATGGCTTCCTTCACACCCCTTTCAAACCAGCTGTCTACTTTATCTAAAATATGAACATTCTGGTCCTCAAACGAAGGTCCTTTTGTTTGGTTACTCTATAAAAGCCTGGAACTCAACGCTGATCCAGACATTTTGAATTGAAAACGTCCTGGATGGGAAGTGAAACGTCTTCATAGTTGGAAAACAAGGTCCAGTGTTTTTTGAGGATCTGAGAATCTCCACCAGCACACAGAAACACACATATTCTCCTCTTGTTATATGTGGTGGACACCACATGTTGACTTCCATTGATGTTTTTCAGTCATTTCCTGCTCTTTCTATTCTGGTATCCTGACAATAACCCAAACCTAACCATTAGCAATCTATATCTTACCCTAACTTACGTCAGTTCACACCGTAGTCCTATAACTTAGCAAATAAGGAAATGAGGACAGGCAAAATGTCCTCATTTTGATAGTGAAACTGCAAAACTGGCCCTCACTCTGATACCAAAACAGAAGCACAGTAACACACAGATAAAGACAATTTAGATCCACCAGTTAACCTGGTAGTGATGGTTTTGGATTGTGGGAGGAAGCCAGAGTACCTGGAGAGATCCCACTAATGCACAGGGAGAACAGGCACCTTTTATGCAGGCCAGGGATCAAAGTCTTCAATCAAGCCTCTCAAATATCCTGGCAGTCATGTCCGAGAAGTTTCACCATCAAAGTTCCAGGTCTCATTTATTTGGACCTTACATCGGAATCAACCAACAGAGCAGAATAAGGCGCTGGGTTTGTCTGTAACAGAGACTGATGAAGATGAAGGTTAAAAAGGTGGAGCTTAAAGTAGGAGCTGGTGTTCGCATCCTCCAGCCTCAGACATTTAAATAAAACCTCACCGCGTCCAACTTGAATGCTGTTAAAAACAGGCAGCATGTTTCTGTGGACTGTAATTTGTAAAAAGGTAGACATTTTCTCTTTATATGTCTTAATAGGTCAGTTCAATTCACAGCACGTCATCACAAGGCACTTTACATGGACAATTCAAACAGATTATACAGTCAGATTGGTTCAAAGTTTTCTATCTACGTTGACTGCATCGACTCATTGACAAAGGCAATCCCTCACACCAAGCATACTTGTGGTGACAGCGGAGAGGAAAAATCCCTTTTAACAACAAGAAAACTCCAACAGATCCAGGCTCAGGGTGAGCGGCCATCTGAGAAGCAGACATACAGAAAGAAGCAGAGATATGTGCCATTTTTGTTTTTGTTTTAATTATTCATACACAAATTCTCAAATATTGTCATTGGAAAGTTGTGATATAATGTCAGTCACAACAGCTCAGTAGTGCTGGGAATCTCTGATGGGGGACCAGGAGGGTCCTCAATGTCCAAAGACCGCCAGGTGTAACACCAGCTGACTGCTGGTGTTACACCTTATTCTGTCATCCATCATATATGGTCCTCACCTGTCTGCTAACTAATAACCATAGCTTCACTGGACTTATAACACCCTGAGTCACAATATATGAAGGGTCACAGATTATGGTGTGACCCCTTTATCGCCTCAGACTGCTTAAAAATTACAGGATAGTGTCACAGTCTTGGTTCTGTTATGTTTTCTTTTGAGTATTCAGTTTTACTTTGCTCCATGTTTTCTAGTTTTTATTGGTTTAATTCTTATTTTGTTGTGTTTTCTGGTTATATTTTAGGTTTTCAGGTTTTTATTTGTCGCCCTCTAGTGTTCTCCTTTTGCCCTAGCTCCTTTCCAGTCTGCTATGTTCACACCTGCTCCCAATCTGCTTGTTAGTCCTCACTTTATTCAGTCTCCCATAAATACACTCCCTGTGCAGTTCCTCAGTGCTGTTTCCTCGGGGATTTTTGGATTCCTGCCTCAGTTGTCTGTTAACATTTCATTAAATCAACAAGAAACTCACTGCCTCCTTACCTCTGCATTTGGGTCCTCAAACCACGACCAAATCCTGACAGAATATCTAACTAGTGACTTTTACTCAGGTTTATTAACTTGAGTCACTTTTAGACCAAAATATACTCTGATATATACTCCAGAGCCATATGGGGGCCTGTAAATATAATTTAGTCTTGGGGCCATCATGACAAAGGACTACTCTTAACTTGTCAGAGACAAACTTACATTTGGGGAACGATGGAAGTTCACTAATGTACTACTGATAGCCTTCACTCCTCACACTGTGGCTTCTGGAAGGAACAATTTTACAACTTTAAATAAACATAAATCTAAAGAATATTTATTCCAGTTCAGTGATAAAAGAGCAGCCACAAAACAGGTTTTCAGGAGGGTGTAAGAAGAACACATAAACATAAGAAGATAGAAGGGTAAAGTTTTCAATAGATATTTTACATATAGTAACATACATTAAGATTGTTTTAAGAGCAAATGTTTAAACTATAAATTACTTATGTTATTTAAACCGTTTACTTGGTTTCAGTTAGCTAGTCTTTGACATAATTGTATACGATAAAGCTTAAAGAGTGGCTCAGGTTATCCTGAGCTATCTCTATAGTTATGCTGCTATAGGCTTAGACTGCTGGAGGACATAGGGACCCCCATTTCATCATTCTGCTTTATTATATCTCTTCTCCCACTCTGCAGAATTTGTTAGTTCAGTCGCTAACGTTAATCTCTTTCTGGTTTTTCTGTTTGGCTGTGACTCCATCCTGGAAACAAATATCAGCTGTGCTGCTTTAATTAACACCTTTGTTTATAGATGTTTTAGCTCTGCCTATTTTTCAGTGTAGTCCTGTTTCCATGACTGTAGCTAACTGGATGTGCTCTCTTCATCCTCTGACATGGGAGCTGGCTAGGAGCTCATCTGCCTGGCTGTGTTTCCGGAATGGAGCCGCCTGTCGAGCTGATTAACAGTTGCCCTTTCTATCTCTGCTTCTGTCTCCTTGAACCCCAGTTGGCCTCAGCAGATGGCTGCTCACAATGAGCCTGGTTCTGCTGGAGGTTTCTTCCTGTTAAAAGGGAGTTTTTCCTCTTCACTGTTGCTACAAGCACTCTTAGAGTGAGGGATTGCTGAAGAGTCAATGAGTCGATGCAATCAACTGGTTTTTCTAAGACAGAAAACTTTAAATCAATTTGACTGTATGATCTGAATAAATTGTCTCTGCAAAGTTTTATGACATGACATGTGTTGAGAGTTGGCCAATATAAATAATCCGAACTGAAATGTGCTTAAGATTTTATTGCTCATTTTATTTAACTACATCTGATTTTTAGCAACCGAATTCAACAATTTTTATTTGCTGTTGTTCTAGCCTAGATTTCTAAACATGTCTTTTGCAGTTTTTGGGAACCAAAAAAAAAATAGTCAGTGCTGTTACTGTAAATATTATAGGCTATTACTTTTAGTAACACTAGATAATATAGGATTAAGATGACAGTACTGCTAAAGCTACAACGAATAGATAGTGTCTGAATCCGATCATCTTACTGCTGGTTGAAGTAATCCAGACTGCTGTCAGACATAGAGGGCCACTAAGGGCCCCATGGAGGCTGGAGCCAGCCGGGCTTTTAGAAGATGTTTTACTGTCCCCAACTCTTTGCTTTTACTCTTTTGGTGGAGGTCAAGCTAATATACAATGAAGAGTAAATATTATAACTGGAGGTACTGGTTTCATATGTTTTATTTAAAGGAAAAGTCTGGTCAGCAAGGAATAATCGATGGATCATTATCTATAACTAAAACTAATACATTTGCGGCGATTTAATGAATTTAGCGTTAATCAGTAAAAAAATGAAAACAATCATTTTCACTGAGTCTGGAAGCGGCCATTTTTGCCCAGATATAGTAACCCCTCCCTCCTGCCATCTTCCGGCAGTGACGTAACGATTGGTAAGCCTAGCGCCATTCTCCCCGCTTTACAAGCAAAAATCAATGGGAAATACTAGACCAGAGGTCACTAACTTTTTTAAGGCTGAGGGCTACTTTATGGGTACTGAATCATAGGACGGGCTACCAATACTGACCTATGAACAAGAGGAGTCGGCGTTCACCTGAACTTCATAGATAATAAACATATTTATATTGTTTCTTTTCATTTTTAATTTGCTTTTAGATATCCTTATTATGAAATCCATATAAATCCTCAAATGTTCTAATTTATTGATATGATAAAATGCTTCATAAATGCAATATTTCAGATTTAATCCACTGGTAAATTGTTCTGTTTTCAAAAGATGCTGAGGGCACCCCATGTTGTCCTTGAAGGCCCCTTGGTGCCCACGGGCATCACGTTGGTGACCACTGTACTAGAAACGTCTGCAATTAACAACAATTATTGAAGATTTCCAGAGGACTTCACCACTGAAATTCACCAGAGCTATAGTGAAACTGACAATGCCCACATGCATGGTAGCTGGATGCTGGAATACATCGGGTATAAGTGAAAAAAGAGAGTTATTCCACCTTTCTGATTCCTGATCCTCCACGGACGGTTTGGTCGTTGGATCGCCAACTTGAAGAGGGAGGATTTGCCATCGACCTTCTGGCCAGAGAAAAAACCCGTAATATGTAGCCAACATTTGGAAGAAGAATGTTTTCAAGATGACTTGGATAATAGCGCGTTGTGACAAACACCAGATACAGCACTGGGACTTGATCAACAGCCGATACCGCACCGTGACGTCACTAACCAGTAGGTGGCAGTAGTGTTCTTTGACAAACATGGATGCCTCCAGTAAAGCAAATACAAATTACTCTTAATTAAAAACACTTATCATTTATTGAACAGTATGTAATAATTTCATATTTAAAGTACTTTTAGAAGTTTGAATATCACCTTCTCCTTTAAAAAGTGTTTATTCTGCCTCTATCTGTATTTGTTCACTTTAATTATTTTATTGCAGTCTGTAAAATGGCTCAGAACTTCATATTTTATTCTGTCTTTATTACATAAATTTAAACAGTAAACCAGATGTTAATTAATGAATTAAGTAGCCTTTTTATAAAATATTTTTTACTATTACCTTCTCAAATTTTACTCTTGTGTAACAATATGATGTAGTTTTATTCATTGTCTTATAATGTGGCGCCATGGCATCATTTATAGCTGCTTAAAGGCGATCTGTTCGCAGAGAGAAGGAATTATGCAAGCAACATAAGAAGGAACATACAAAAAGACTCTTTAGAACCGCAGTCATGTTGTAACAGAATTACATGTATTCATATTTACAGATTTATTCTCCGAATGTAACACTGTGCACAGTTATTTCATAATCTTAAAATGACATTCATCTGGAATTATAAAACAATGAAAAAGTACTTAGCAGAGCGTAAACAGCAGAGGAGAAATAATCAGGAAATAGTTGATATTCCAGGTTCTACACATTCTCATAAAAGTCCAACGAAACATAAAAAAATAAAATAAATCAAAGGCAGCTCAGGGCTGCGATGTTATATCTACAAACTCTCCACTGGAACAATCCGCTATGTACACTGTACAAACATCTGGACAGAGCTGGGCGCCCAGATCCACTTCCCTCTGCAGAACAGGAAGAACTTTCTAGATCCTGCAGTGGATCCTAGTGAAGGATGCATCCTCTGCCTGCTGGTTCTAAGGATTTTATACGAGCTCTGATGGGTTTCTGTAGCACTAGTACCAAACCTCTGCAACCTTCATGCCATGTTTGGTCCAATTTCTCCCTGAAATGTGTCCTGCTGACTGATCAACTACAGACTAAGTGATGCTCTTGCTCCATTTCTCAGGGAGACAGAAGCAGAGGAAAAAAGAAGGGGAGATTTGCAGCTTCACACCACCTGGATCTGAGATATGAATTTTGTCTCTGACAAAGAAAACTGGAGGAAAAAATACATTCCATGTGAAAATAAGTGGAACAGTGAGGTACTACGCTGCTGAAAGAGGTTCTAATCTTCCAATAACTGTTCAGAGCAACCTGCTGGGTCCTTCTCCTCTCTCTGCTATCATTTCTCTCGACTTTCTGATTGAATTCTCAAACGACTAAAAAAACTTCCCCAAGGAACTAGAAGGGATCATCACTGATTCTAAGTGTCCAATTCAGCCACTAATTGAGGTTCTTATGTCAAACACCGAACGCCTTCAAATTGAAATCTAGATAAGTAATTTTTTCTTAAAACAAGTGCATTTGTTCTTGGATTGAGAAGGTAAAGCAGAAATTTTGCCAATGAAACAAGACAATTCACATTTAAAATAAGAAAACACAATTCCATTGTCTTATTTCAAGTGCATGTTATGTAATTATTTTTATTTTAAGAGTAAAAATACTCATTCCATTGGCAAACTATCTCATTTACCTACTAAAATTAAGAGTAAAGCCACTTGATTTCAGACATTTTTACTTATTTCTAGATCGTTTTTCCAGTGATCTCTTTCCTTCATGAAGCTGCTGCAGAGGAACGGTCAGACGGATGCAGGAAAAACAAACTGATTGCTGTCAGAAAACACTAGACAGGAAGGAAGCAAACATTCAGAAACGTTTGGGACGCCGCTCTGCAGAAGATCCCAACCATCAAACTGCTTCAGAGAACATCTAGCAGAGCTGAGCAGGTTAACCGCCGACAACTCTGCACTTCTAGTAAATCTGCTGTTTCCTGTCAGCAGCAGACTGATTGTTTTTTTCATCCTGACCTGCACACAACAATCTGCTTCCACTCCTAATAGAAAATAGACCGTCTGCAGTCATAAGGCTTGTTAAATGTCATCACAGAGTTTTATGCTGAAAGTTGGGGCCAATCACTCATTTTCTTGTAGAAATCAGTTCAGTAGCTTCTGTGGCATTTTTTTTTAAGATTGCCTTAATCAACAAAATCAATCCTCAAAAAGTGTTTTAAGTAGAAAAATACAGAAACTGGCCGAAGTTTATGCTTTGAATACAGGATCAGCACCCATACATGACCCAGCAACACAGAAGGAGAGGATTGTGCCATGGGTTTTAAATGTCTTCCCTTTCAATATTTTAGAAGCTGTTCATGTGAGATCTTCCATCCCATCCTGTTAGAAGATCACACTTCAGTTTGCTGCTGCGAGTCGGTGATAATGGTCACCCCTCGGCGAACCTCGCTCAGACCTTCATGGACACTGCCATGTTCAGAGCTCAGCGTTTGGCAGGCTGATGACGGACCAACGGATAGGTGCATATTCAGTGAGACAGCAGAGTCCCCGTTAACGGGAGACACCTGCTCCACTGGTGTGCTGAAGTCTTTGTGTGGCACGTGCCCAGTGGGTAGATGGTGGGTGGGCAGGTACTGGCTGGGGTGGAAGCTTGGCCGGGTGTCCTGAAGCCTTGTGCTATTCGGGTTCAGGATGGTCTCCTTGGAGGCAGCAGAGAGCAGCGGTGTGTACGGCTCTGGGCAGTCCTCACCGGCAGGCAGCGGCGGTGGGAGCTGGTCTTGACTCAGGAACTCTTCTTCGTGTGGAGGGGGGTAGTCACTGTCCACATCATAGCCTCCCAGGTAGTAATCTGACTCCAGCCCATGTGGTGTTCCACCCAGAGAGGGGTCCAAGCCAACGGCGTCACTGTCAGGAGGTGACCCCAAGTTCTGCACTCCTTCAGAGTCTGACAGCCTGGTTGGCATCCAGTCAGATGTGTCCCAGTGGTAAGCTGGTCAAGGAAAGGAGAGAGATTAGCAGCTGCACCCACAGAGTCATCATGACAGGAGCAGGTTTTACGGTTACATGCTTTTACAGAACAGCAAACAGCAAACATGCCGATGACCAACTCGATGGGAACGATCTCCAGATGAATCGATCTCCAGAAGAGATGTTGGATTTGTATGCAAAGACAAACACATCAGAGGTTTCCACAGCTCAGCATGCAGAATGGCAAGCACAGAAGCCATGCTTTTAAGAAATAAAGAAATAAAAATAAATAAGTGAAAATTCAAAAAAATAAAAAAGCCAAAAGCTCATTGAGATGTGTTAGAATCAACCATTTGGCCATATTTTACCGTAATACACCTTCACGACGCAGGGATATATGACGGATATTTTAAGGGATAACCGTATAAGTAAAAAAAAATGTAATTCAAGCTGTAATCACAAACAATAAAGCTAACATCTGGGGTCCGTTTCACAAAGCAGGTTTACTGAATACTCCAAGTTTTCTAAACCTGAATTATGTTATGTTTTCTGTTTCACGAAGATAATTGATTTAACCTCTTTTTCTATTACCATAGTAACATTCTCCCCATAGCTAACCTGGTCGGAAGCAGGTTAGCTCTGCAGTAAACTGAGAGTGTCCTCTGTCTCCGCTCTCCCTACAGTCAATCACACTGTTTTATTTTCTGATTTAGTCCGATTTTTGTCTCAGTTTTGTGCAAAAAAAAAATAAAAAAAAAATCCCTAACTAGGTCTGGTCGACACATTTGCTTTTAAAAAAAACATTGCAAGTCGTCTGATGAGGATCTCATTAAAGACAAATTTGTACTTTTTCATAGAGAATTAAATATTTATAGGGAGAGGATTCTACCAGGTAGTGACAGGATATGAGATTTATGTGTCTTTGGTTTGTTTTAATATGAGCAACATGCGGATCATTTTTTATTTTTACAGTACATAAATAACTAATGAAATTAGTTTCAGATTACACTTAAATGGCTAAATTAATTCCTAGGGTGGAAAAGGAATTACTTTAGGATTAAGGATTAGGATTCACTCTGTGATAACAACCTACTAAGTCTACTGGCACAATCTGAAGCTATTCTATGGGATTGATAACCTCAAATAACGACCTATTTATTGGTATGATAACATCAGAAAAGACTGGAAGCAAAGACTTACTGTATAAAATAAGACAGAATCAAACTGAAGAACCCCATGAGACGACGAGGTTCCATTTATTAGAACATTTTTGTTCTTCATCTTCACCTGCTGCCAGATGATTTTACCTAAATACAGAAATTGATCCACTACAATTCAAGAAATAATCCTGTAATATTATCGCAGTAACAAGAGGCTATGGTAAGCCATATTGATATGTATTAGTTTTACAGAATATGTATTCCTGATATCTAAAAAAAAAAGGTTTTCCTTTTGTATCATCTCTCAAACAAACTATCACTCTCCAAATGTAGAATAAACTTTATGGATGTCTAGAAATTTATTTCAGATCTCCGTATTCCTAATATACAGGTCATCATTGGTATTATTTTGACTCAGATATCATAAATACATATTCAGTCGAGCTGATAAATGTCAAAACACACGGCAAAATATCTAAATCTAGATAATTCATTTTTTCTTAAAATGAGTGCATTTGTTCTTGAATTGAGGAGGTAAAAGAGACATTTTGCCAATGGAACAAGACAGTTTACACTTAAAACAAGAAAACACAATTGTGCATATTATCTAATTATCTTATTTTAAGAGTAAAATTACTCATTCCATTGGCAAACTATCTCATTTACCTACTCAAATTAAGGGTGAATACACTTAATTTAAGAAATTTGTACTTATTTCTAGATCGTTTTTGCAGTGCAGCCACTTAAAATGTGTAAACATTTCTAGATATATAAAACTTAATTCTGGCTAGTATCAAATTTTTTTGTTGTTTTTTACCTTTTTAAATTGTTTTTCTGCTAAAAAAGTGTCATTTAGAAAACGTATTATTACCGTTCAGTCTAGGAGTGACATTTTGATCAGGAACTTCATATAAACTAAAGCATTAACTCGAGCAACAATCTTCTCCTTTACACGTTTCTCTCCTTTGCAGGTGTAGTGCTGTTGCTCCTTCTTCCCCCCCCCCCCCCCCCCCCCTTTTTTTCTATTACTTCTGCATTAAAATCTCTAGTTCCAGTGCGGAGAAATAGGTACTTCTTGTTGCCTGTTGTCATGGTGACTTGTCGAATTTGTGCTCCACTGATATTGACTCTTCATACTTTTTGCCCACATACTGAACTCTGAGTGGTTCTACTTGGAGTAGATTGAACATAGCAGCTGTTGTTAAATCGAACACTCAGGAGTTCCTGACTTTAGTCTAGATCAACTTAGAGTTGCAGATTTGAATCTGAGTTTGCTTAACCTGCTTCGTAAAACGGACCCCTGCATTGTCACAGAATTCCTGTTTGCTAGTTTTATCATCAGGAAAGAAATGCGGTTCGATCAAACTGCAGCTCCTAAAAGAACCTGCTGATGTCCTCGTATGGGAAAATGCTTGGTAGATTTGACTAGATAAAGAAAAATAAAACATAATTACTAGAAACTAAGAACACAAAAGGTTCTGTTCTTGAGAACTTTTTCATGTTGTTTCGTAAAGGCAATAAAACACTTCTATCACCCTGTGTAGGGTGCCGTAGTGTTAGATCTTCAAATTCTGTTCCTCCTCACTGAAAACATCTGGACAGGAACCTCCCAGCATGAATTCACAATAGATTCTCCATCATCATCAGAAACCTGCATTCATGACTGCTTTACTTTTCTGACATAAGGTGAAATCTTCATAAAAATAATATTTGCCTTTAAAACCTGTAGGAGCCTATTAATCAAAATACTGCATGTTTTGTTTCTGCTAAACTGGGAAATAACTAAATATGAGGATGTTAAATAATTCAGCTAGGAAATCTAAACTCTGGTTTGTTTTATACTAAATAAAAAACAGACGTAAAAAAAGTTACTTTTATGAGATGCGCGTGATTGCAGTTGAGTTAATTGTTTTCTAGATGACGAGTCCTCTCAGCCGTGTCCTTCGTAGATCACAGGTCATTACAACTTGCAAACAAACATGGCGGATTTTACGCTGAATGCACCAACACAGCCTTCCTCAGCACAAAGGGACCTTGATGGTAAACGTACTAGTTTAAAGTTAAACTGAATTGAAGTGAGTTTTGATTGGTACGTTCTGTTACCCTGGAGCTGGTTGCATCAGCATGTATGGAAGTGAGACTGGCACCAGCGTCGATGAGAGCTAAATATAGTATATTTTAGACTGATCAGAAAAGCTTGATCCATTGTCATTAATTCTGTACCTTCATTTTCACAGAAAGCAAAATACGGAAAAATCAACCCGATGCGCCTCACAGTTACATTTGAAGTAATGAAACCTTTTAACAACATGCAAAGTTCCTCAAAAATAAAGGGCACCCACACTGTTTCAGTTTGAAAGATACCCATAAAGCAGCTGGAGCTACCTACCAGTGTTGGGAGCTGGAGAAATCCCATCTTTCTCCAGCAGAGTCCGCCGTGGATCCTCTGAGGGAGCTCCCTGCACAGCTGCAGCTCGTCAAGATCATCAGAGGATCCACTACTTAAGCTGTCTTCAGACCTTGCCTCAACGCCGCAGTGTTGTTCCAGTTGGTCAGCGCTAAAGCCTAGATCCTCTGAGAATCTCCATGACTTTGAATCCAGTCTGGATTCTAACTATTATCTCTGTCTTCCAGGAAAACCTGTGCCTCCTCTGAGAAAGCTCTGGAAGAGCTAACCTGCCTAGCCGACCCTCTGAGCCAAACCCTGAAGATCCCTCTGAGAAACCTCAAGCAGCTCAGGACTGAGCTGGGACTTCCAATGCAAGGTCTGTTCTAACAAGACGTGAGACGCTGAAGCAGCTAACGGACTCTGCTGATGAACCCTTCTCCAGAACCAACAGTGACTCTCCCAAAGTTAACCTCAAGAACCCTCAAGGTACAATCAGTGAACTTCTGGAAGTAAAACCCTGCCAGCAAACCGCTAACTGTGCTGTCTCTCACGCAGACTCCGGTGAACCAGTATCCAGGCCCCGAACCAGAATCTGTACATTCTGTGTGTTTGTGCTTTAATAAACTGTTGAACTCTTCATCCTTGTGTCCGTCAGTGGTGTTCTGCATAACTGGGTCGCCTTCAGTGAACCCATCATGACAGAACACTGCGGCCAAACTCAAGGCCCAGCAGATCACTACATCCGTCGACTAGAGGAACAGGCTGCCCAAATCCATGGACACGGTCTGGCTCTACGTGAGTTAAACACCCACATTGAAAGACAGAATCAAGCTATTCAAAGCTATGCTAACTACGTGAACAGCGCTAATGCTGCGCCAGTACAGCAACCATTTCCGGGTCCAGTCCCTCCTCCGAGGTCACCAGCTGTGACATCATCAGAGTTCCGTCCTAGTCTCCCAGAAAGATTTTCTGGTAACATGAAAGATTGCAAGGGATTTTTATTTCAATGTCGGTTGATTTTTCAGAACTCCCCTGGCTGTTTTTCCACGGATCACAAGAAGATAACTTTCATTCTCTCTCAGTTAACAGGAAGAGCCTTGGAATGGGCTCAGGCAAGATTTGCCGCTGACGATAGTTTAAATTGCTACTACTCTGATTTCATTTCTGAATTTACCCAGGTCTTCAACCAGGAAACTGACCAAACTATTGATTCTAGAGCTCTTTTCAACCTTAAACAGGGAAACTCTTCGGTGGCTGAATTTTCTACTAACTTCCGGGTTAAAGCGGCAGCTTCCGGATGGAACCAAAGCGCCTTGAAAGGAGCCTTTTTCATGGCATTAAACGAGCACATTAAAGATGAACTCGCAACCCTCGACGAACCTGCTACCCTCGAAGATTTAATTCGCCTCTCCATCAGATTAGATAATAGAATTCGAGCCAGAAACAGTTCTAAGAAGCAGGGTACAATTTCTT